GAGGCGGCCATGGCTATGGTGGACCTCAAGTGATACCTGCAGTAGAAGAGGGACTCGGACATTGATTCTGGATCAGCCATTCAACATTGTATTAGTATTTCTTGTATGAATAAGAGAAGGGGGAGATAAGGAGGAGGAGATTGTTGTGCGAAGAAGAAGAGGCTTGTCATTGTCTTCGCTGGTGTACATTTTCTTCTTCTTCTTTCTTACTCCTCCTTCTAATCCTCTCTCTCTCCTCTCAAGTTCATTCATTTCTTTCTGCAATTGGACGGCATTATACTTTCTGATGGATGTGTATCTCGAAATTGGCCAGGGTCATAACATTGGTATCAGAGCGGATTCTACTTGCTGGTGAGAGTTGACTTTGCTGCCCTAACCCTAACCTAAGTGGTTGAGGGCACCGCTTAGGGTTAGGGTTGGTTGGTGAAGGGAGGTGGGGCAGCGTGGTTGAGGGAAGCTGCCCCCACCTGGTTAGGTCATGTGGGGTCGACATAGAACCTAACCAGGCTGCTTGAGAGTGAGATTAGGGTGGCGAGACATTTCAAGGAGACTTCATGCGGCGATTTGAGAGAGGCGACAATGAGAGGCACTTGCACCTGGAATCTGATTCAAGGGAGACACTTGGCAACTTAAGGGATAGGACACTAGTGTAGGGGTAGCGTTAGAGGGGTCAGGAGGATCTCATGAGAGGGGGGTGAGTTCTATTCATCTTGAAGCTCAAGGCCACTCAGGTAAGTGTCGTGCACCTACGGGATGCCCATGTATGTGTGTATGGTATTGATTGTCCTGCTGGGGTACTCTGGTTTCTTTTCCTACTCCTTTGTGGTCTTGATTGTGTGACTGAATGCATCTGATCTACCTACTCACCTGATGGATGGAAAATGAAGTATCTTGACCTAAATGTCGAGTCTTTCTACAGTGCTTTGTTTTTCATCTTTGAACAGTTGTAGTCTGTAGGTTCTGCCAGAAGTTGAAATTTCGTTTTTCAGTGCAGTAGAGACTGAACTAAGTCCATGTGGAACTCCTCTTGGTTGGGACCTGGTTGCGACCTACGTGGGACCTCTGGGACCCAGCGGGACCGAGCCCAAACAAGAAGAGCCTCTGGACCCAAATCGGTTAGGCATTGGTCCCTTGTCTTCTTGGCTGGGATACGGAGTTCATTCTTCTTGGATAAGGACACCCGCTACCGAGGGGATCTTGGCTGAGACGTTTCGCGTGTCTTTAGGTTGCACTGTCCGTGGCTTGATTCGCACCCTGTACACCACTCAATTCTTCATTGTTGCATTTAGTCACTCGTTGTCTGATTTGCTGTACGGTCACGGAGTTGGTCAGACTGGACTCGGGAGGACCTCGTATGCAGTCTGATCAGACTGGGTCGCTGGATCAGACCTCTCATTTGAACTTGTTTGTTTTTCTTTGGTTTGTTGCTCTCTACGTCCAAATGAAATGCCACTTCGACTAGGAGTTCTACCTTCTCTTCTCTGAGCTTTCAAGTCTGTTTTTCTGAGTTCATTTCCAATGCCCGTGGATACCCGCGGCCAGAAAGAAGAGAGAGAGAGGAGGGAGAGAGAGAAGGGAGAGAGGGAAAGCGACCGTCTGGAGTGGGCAAGGACTTGGAAAACGATTGTTCGTCCAAGTAAGAGGGGGAGTGAACCTCTTGAGAGTCTAATTGTTTCTTTTGCTGATTGGCGACTCTCTGACCAACCTGTCAATGCTAGCGGTCCAAAAATGGCTTAGCTAACTTCAGTGCAATGCCGGGCCTTGTTAGATGCAGCCAGTGATGCGGAAAAACCATATCTACAGGCACTCCTAGATAGTGCAACCAAAAGGGAACAGGAGGCAGAGAAGGAGAGGAAGGAGTCATTGCTGAAAAGGCAGGTGGTCATCCTAGAGATTGTTCCATCACTGACTAAAGAGCAGTGTGGGGAACAGTTGCAGTCTATACTCACCGCCCTTGTTCAAGTCAAGAATCTTGAAGATCATACCACTCAGATCGCTGAAGTCTTCGCAAAGTTGCAAACACTTCAAGATGATCTGACTGATATGACCCGCAAGTACCACGAATTGACAAAGGAGGTGGTTGAGCTGCGACAAGCCCAAGTGGCCAACCCTCTTCCTCTACCCTCTGGATCTGAAGCTGCAATTTAAACTACCTCTGCCTCTCTTACGGTATCTTCTTTCTTGAATGTGATGTCAACCCCCTCGGGACCTGCAACAGGTGCAAATTCCGCTGTTGCTGTGACAAACAACGAGGCTGGAAATTTTGCAACTGCTGCAGCCCCAAGATTGGAACGAGCAGGTGCTGGTCCCAGCCACGTCAGTCCCTATGTGGACCGAGAGGCTGTTCAAATATCGTCTAAGTACGACGGCAAAGAAGACATCGAATCATGGATAAACTCCATGAGGGCATACTTCGAGGTGTTGGGGACTGAACCTGAGACCCAGTCCGTGATCATGGGAATGAATGTTGAGCCGGTCGTGCGGGGCTTCTTAGAGGTCCAAGCAACGCGAGCTGGGATTCCCAAAATAAAACTAACAAGGTGGCTTAAGACCACCCCGGTTGCCTCCCTCGAGGAACTCCTCATTTCGCAATACTTGGATCCACATGCTGCAGCAAAGGCAAGAATCCAGCTTGACAAAATCACGCGCAGCAAGTGGACGGGCTCCATGAAAAGCCCGCAAACTTACCTTAGCAAGATGTTCGCTACACCCGGATTGGAACTAACTGCCCAATCTTGCTTGGATGTGGTCAAAGGCGCGGTTCCCACCAACTTTACTTATTGCCTAGGCAGGGACTTCATTGGTTACACTGACTGGTTCACCTTAATGAAGGACATAGTCAGTCTTGAGACTGTAGACCTCATCACCACAACAGGCAGCAAAAAGCCCATGGGCGGCAGGTGGTTCAAAGGCAGCAACCGTTTTGTTGTGCATGACCTGTTGGAGGCTGAAGAAGAAGTCGATGCAGAGGACCCCACTCTTGGTGACGTCCAAGAACAGGACCCTGATACTTGTTCTTCGGCCCATGAGTTTGACGCAAACCATGAAGAAGAAAAATTTACTGCCTTCAAAAAGAATGCCAACACAAAGGGGCCGAATCGAAGTGCAGGGAAGAACTATGTCCAACTTCCCAAGGGAGTCAAGATCCCACCTAAACCGGAGGATGCGACTACTAAACCTTGGGTCGACCTCCAGATTACTGAAAATGACTGGCGGGGTAGACTCAAGAAGGGGGTATGCCTGCATTGTCAAAACCAAACCATAAGGTACAAGATTGTTATAGGTTGCACGGAAACCAGAACCGGGCATAGAGTCAACTTCAACAAACTCTACAGCAGGGGAGACTGAAGCTGATATAAATCAGCACTCCTCCCTTGAAGCCCAATCATCTACTGAACACGAGGCTGAGGTAAGTAACGTTTTATATGTCGAGCCTTGGGAGGAGTCTGGGACGGTCGCTTTTCACTACCACTTGGAGCATTGGGCTGAGATGAAACAGCAGCGTGCCCAGGGGACTGTGAAGTTGATCTTCTTCAAACTTCTCATAAACCACCGCTATCTCCGTGTTTTGGTTGACTGTGGTGCTACGACTAACTTTATGTCACCTCACGGGATACGCAAGGTGGGCTTGGGGATGAAGCAAGTGGCCTTGCAGAACCCTTGCCGGACCCAAGTTGGCAACAAGGAAGTTGTCTCTTCTACGCATGCAGTCAAAGGTGTGCGCACTACCTTTGACAAGGACAAAATTGTCACACACGTGTTGAACTTCTCTGTCCTTGACAAGTGCCCCTTCGACGCTGTCCTTGGCTTGGGCTGGTTGCAGTCCCAATGCGAATGGACCAAGTGGAAGGAGTCACTCTTCATGGTCAAAGATGATCATGGGAACGAGCTTCCTGTCCTTTCGGATGAGAAGCACGAGTCCCCAGTGACTTTTCTGAATGCTATGAAGTTCTGCAAGAAATGGCACAAGCACAAGGAGGAAGAACAGTTGTATGTTGCCTTTGTTCGTCCTACCCATGTGCCATCTACTTTTGCGGTCAATACCACTACTACTTCGATTAGTGATCCTACTTCTAGTACTTCTACTTCTAGCACCTCTATGTCTCTACCCTCTAATGGTCCAGATGATCCTACTTCAGATTCGATCGTCTCTATCCGCGACCTGCGACCGGATCTAGGCGACACCTTGCTGATCCCCCACCCCCACCGGTCCCACCAGACATCCAAAACCTCCTCGATCGGTTTCCGAAAGTTTTGGTCGAGCCACGTGGAGTCCCCACGCGATCAGTCCGACACACCATCGAGTTGGTTAAAGGTGTTGTTCCTCCAAAGGGTTGCGTATACCAAATGGGACCTGGCGAGTTGGAGGAACTCCGACGACAGATTGATGAGATGATTGACAAGGGGTGGACCAATCCTAGCGAATCTGAATTTGGTGCTCCTGTGTTGTTTGTTCCAAAGAAAGGCGGCAAACTCCGTATGTGTATTGACTATCGCGGTTTAAATCGCATCACAAGAAAGAATGCCTATCCATTACCTCGTATAGATGACTTGCTTGATGTCGCAGGTGGGTGCAAGGTCTTCTCCAAGATTGATCTCAAGTTTGGTTACCACCAGATTGAAGTCGATTTTGCGGACCAGCACAAGACTGCGTTCAAAACGCGCGATGGGCTTTACGAGTTTACCGTAATGCCCTTCGGTCTCACGAACGCGCCAGCCACCTTCCAAAGCCTCATGGACAAGGTCCTCCGCGAACAGATTGGCCGGTTTGTGGTGGTCTACCTCGATGACATATTAATCTTCAGCAAGTCCATGGAGGAACACCTCAAGCATCTTGAGGAAGTACTGACCATCCTCAAGAAAACGCAACTCCATCTCAACTTAGAGAAATCTGAGTTTGGGAAGGATAGCGTCATCTATCTTGGGCATCGGTTGTCTGCTGCAGGCTTGGAGCCTGAGGCAACCAAGGTTGAGGTCATACGCAATTGGCCTCAACCCGTGAACATTCGCGAACTGCGTTCTTGTCTTGGCCTCGCGTCATATTATCAGAAGTTTGTGCCCCGCTTCTCTATTGTTGCTCATCCATTGTCGCAGTTGACGAGTATAAATGTTCCCTATTCCTGGGACGCCGCTTGCACGAATGCTTTCCAAGCTTTAAAGGAAGCCTTGGTAAGTCACCCAATACTCCACATTGCAGATCCCGAACTGACGTTCGTAGTCACTAGGGATGCGAGCCAGTACGGAATCGGTGCAGTGCTGCAGCAAGACGACGGTGATGGCTTGCGGCCACTCGAATACTACAGCAAACGCATGCCCAACGTAAAGGTAGCCACTTCCACCTACATGCGCGAGCTCTACGCTTTGCGCATGGCGTTGGATCACTGGAAACATTACCTTTTGGGATGCCACTTCAAACCCTTCTTAGATCATGAGACTCTGAAGTGGATCAAACAGTGAACTACCCTGTCCCCTACCTTGCTTTGCTGGTTCCATGAAATTGACATTTTCGATTTTGAGTTAAACCACCAGTACCTCCGCCAGTGTTAAGAAAATGCGATGTCTTGGCCAGTACCCGAACTTTTCGGGGTGGGACACAGGCTCGACAATGTCCCATAAATCTGAATTTTTTAGTCCAGGAAAAAGGGGAAAAAAAAATGCACCTTACAGGTAAGGCGGTCACATTCTGAATGTTACTGTTTTCTTTTTTTGTTGGTCGTGTGTTTCTTATGAGTCCCCTGTCCGTGAATTGCTCAAGCTGTCCGTGATCTGCTCAAGCTGTGTTTTGTCAGAGGATTGTAAGGCTCATCACACCGACACTTAGGGGAATGTATCCAGGCATTTTCACGGTCGAATCCATGTGCCTATTTTTTCCCCTTTTTATTCTCTTTTTGGAATTTGACAACCTCGCCACAGGGCTGAGATGCCCTCATTGAGGGCGCACTCACACTACCACTTCCAAGAATGTATACAGCTGCAATCACGGCCAAAGCTTTGTTTCCTTTTTTTTTAAATTCTTTTCTAAGGTTCACTGCCGCAACTTTCCTTTTCTTTTTTGTTTTTTTTTGTTCTTTCCGTGAGAGTACCAGAAAGAAAACGAAGTGGTACCCAGGCTCGGCAAAACTCGGAGCGCAGTGAAATTCAGGGTCGGCAAAAACAAGCTCGGAGGTACTGGTGGTTTAAGACATAAAAAGGGTTCTTATAATCGAGTAGTTGACGCTTTGTCTCGCCATCATTTCCAAGCGGCATTAGATTAACACAATTGCCTAAAGAGTAACGGAGGTGCGCGAAGGTAGGCTCAAGCTAGCGCTTTGCGCAGCTGTAGAGCGTAATGGTCAAAGCCTGCCTGACTGTGAGACCTACAAGTCGAACAGAGACGAAAGTCGAGCAGTGTATGACATCTGGCCGACACCCCGAAGCCAACGGGTTGGCTGACGAGATCAACCAGACTGTGTTTCAACTTCTTCGCGCTTTGATTAGTCCGGATCAGGAAACTTGGGATGAAGAGCTGTATTCCGTTAAGGGGTTATAAAACAACTTCGTCCGCTCCGCCACCGGCATGACACCCAACAGACTGCATGACGGTTCGCAGCTCCGGAATCCGCTCTCTTACCTATTCCCTGAGCAGCCAGCTGGCTTAACACGCGGCAGACCTGGCTTCAAGGCCAAGTATGATCACTTGCTCAAAGTTGCCATTGCAGCTATGACCAAGCGACAACACACCATGATCCATCATGCGAACAAGAAGCCCCGACCGTCGGATATTTAGGTAGGAAGCTATGTCTAGGTCAAGATGTCTGAATTCTCAGAAGAAGAGGGAGTCTCACGCAAACTTCTCCCACTCTACTGTGGGCCCTCAAAAGTTTTGGATGTGATTGGTGAAGATCACTTTGGCCCCTCGTACGTCGTTGATGTGCCAGCCCATCTGCGCACATACCCCGTGTTCCACGCGTCCAAACTATGCCTCCACCGTGATGCTAAGACATTCGATTATCGCGAAGATATGATCCCTCGCGCGATCAAAGGCGGGCATGAGATAGACCGAATTAAACACCACGTAGAGAAGGGACGCAACAGACATTACCAGGTTCACTTTACGTATCATCCGTTAGATGATCTGTACTGGATTTCCAAGCAAGAACTGCTACGCAGCGCACCGCGTGTTGTTAAATCCTACGAGCGACAAATCGCCACTAACACTACACCTAAGATCTCTGCAAGGCTCACTCCGACAGAGTATTCTAGGAATCTCTTTGCCTTGCTTGCCTACGATGCATTTGTCGAGGACTCAGAATGAGTTACTCGCTCGAAGGGACCTCGCTCTTGAGGGGGGAGTAGTGTGATGACCCGTCCAAACATGGACTGAAACACAACTGATTTCTGAGTTTTGCTCATAGATTGAATGCCTTGCTGAGCTTCCCGCCTGCTACTAAGTCTGTGTGTGCACGCTAGCTGGACTGCATGTCTGTCCGAGTGCTGGTTGGCTTGAGTGTGTGTGTGACCATG